TATAGCTAGCAAACTCCTCATGGAAGACCAGATAATAATATCAACAACCCTAACTTTCAGAATAGGGGGTCTTGGAATAACACACAGGGGAAAAGAATTGGTAATAATCTTGTCCTTGTGCACAAGATTCAATGTGAGATTTGAAAGCAATTTTAAGCAGTGTTTTTAAACTTAGGAAAAGATACAGAGGTTCACACTGTGCTCTTGGATATTGATAGTTCAAAATTAAGCCTTTGTCTTATGGAATTATGTGAAAGGTCATTAGAGTAAGATTTACAGTGATAGGAATGCTCTTGTTTTCAAGCAGATTGAGTGAATTAATCTGTGTTTTTTTCTGGAAGAGAGGCAAACTCCTACAGTCATCCCTCCTTCTGAAGTACACAGAGACACTGCCTCAGGACTGCAGCAGATGTTTTTGATACAAAATGATCTGCTTGCAGCATATCCAATTCCTGAACCATCCCAATGTGTAATGTCACATGCAGTTTCCATGTCCCCTGAGTGAAATGCTACTCAGAGAGACATGTAGCGTCACAGCCACTCTCTCCTGTCTATAATTTCCTGACATACCTGGTGCTCATATATTCTCCATAATCTGTGATTTTATTATCTGGTACAGTCAGCAAATAGCTTTTGGTGTTCTTTTATTTGCATAGGGACACACTCCTCCTTCTTTGGTTGACTCATAATTATTAACATAAAACCATCAAGATTTATGACATCTTAGATATGACATGAATTTGAGGACACTAATTTGTAGATGTGCAGGCTCTCAAAAGGTAATTCCTGTTGGGTGTTTACTTTAAAGTCTCTGCAAGATTAGAGAGGAAAGTGCAAATATCAACCACGTGTCCTCCCTGGAGTCCTAACCAAAAAGGATGAACATTGCAAAGTCTTGTAATCATATCCAAGCCAAAAGAACTGTGTTTCCTTATTTAATAATTCAGCTGTAATAGTAGCTAAGAATTCTCCCAGGGCTGGTAGAAAGCTGTTCTTTCAACTGAAAAGAAGGATGGAAGTAGTCTGGGTGGTCCAGGATAGCATCTGGACAAAGAATGCAAGGGCTGCTGAGAAGAGGAAGAAAAAGCCCTTCATTACAAGTAGTACAGAAAGGTAACAGAACAACAAGCAACCAAAAGTGTTCTTTGCACAAGACACTGCCAGCAACTAGCAGAGTGGACAGAGAGTACTGCAGCTTCTGATGGAAGACAGATTGTGATGTGGAGATAGATCATCTGCAGAATTCAGCCCAGAAATAGCTTGCTCAGCTATTGCTCAGGCATGCAGGCACAAGAAAAAAAATGTTAATAGTACAGAGATGGGTAAATGAGAGCCGCTGAACTGAGAGAGACAAAGATGCTGTTTGGGTTAGCTGTACAGAATCTCCACAAAAATATGTATCTCATTATGTCAGCTACCTTAGGTTCTCATCCCAGAAGTGGGTTTGCAGTTATTGGGATGTTCAAAAGCAAGAGGGGAAAAAAAGCTGGAAGCAGAAAGGGAAGAGTATTCACATTTTAAAGTTATAAAGACATTCTAAGATCTAATTAAACTGAGTTTCTTAGTATCCATAGCACATCAGAGTGGAATATACTTTGATTAGTCATATGACTGAATATATTTAATAGATGTATATGAGTAATAAGGTAAACAACTTTGTGCTATCAAAACCTCTGCTTGAAAATAATGCATAACCTATCCTTTACAATTATGCCAGTTATGTAACTGTAAATAACTCTAAGACTAACTTACTTTGCTATGCTTAATTATGTTTAGCACAAATTATGTACATTTACAAAACACATCCAGTCAAAAATAATCCGTTCTATTGAACAGTTGGGAAAAGGCCTTAGTTTTGAAATATTTATGTACAGTTTAATGGAAAAAAACCATCAACTCATCACTGAATCCCTTATAAAACACAGGTCTATAATATATTAGACTGTAGTCTCAAGTTCCAGAAGTTTTCTTTAGCAGGAGAAATAAATCTACCAAATTATCAGAATAAACTGTAATGGAAGGAAAGTTCTTTACCATACTCAAGAAAACTCAAGAGAACCTCAAGAGAATTCAAAGAGTAAGACAATGACTTACTGAAGTGTAGGTTTTCGTGCTGTTAAGTCCCCTCTGCCTCCACATACCTTTCCTTGTACTGCCTCCAAGTTCCTACAGCTGTATCACCTAAATAGCAAATAGCAAGTAACCTACAACTAACTTTTCAGATTCAATAGCTAATATTTGAAAAGCAGGAACAAAACAAACTGCTCATTCGACAAACACAAACTAAGCAATTTCTAATGCACTTTTATCCAGCAATGAATGGGTGACCAGACAGATACAAGGCTTTTCTGAACAAAGACAAAGCCATGTCATGAAAACAAAATTAGTTTCTCAGGCACAACTAAGAAAACCCCATTTTTAATTTGATGCAGCTTTAAAAGCCTGCATTCACGTCCATTTTCAGACATGCATTGAAATAATGCCCTTAAGATTGTAAGTCTGTGAAACCTGAACTCCTTAACAGTAAAGCAACTGCACAGAATTCAAGAATTGGTAATTTCAAAACATCAAACTGAGCACAGACTTGACCACAAGCTCCCTGTGCAAGACCAAAGGAGACTTGGCCAAAGATACAAAAAAAAGCATGTGCAATGTAATCGCAAAAAGACAGTCTTTTCACTAGGAAGGTAAATAGAAAAATAGACAAAACATTTCTTATTTGAAATTATAGAAAAAATACAGGGACAGAAAGTGAAACTTGGGATATCAACATGTTTGGCTTATAAAAATTAGACAGAAAAGCAATTGATTTATTTCTTTTAGAATACTAATAGCTGGCAAAAAGAGCAAGACAAATAAATTAGATGCATGTCTGTCCATATATTTTTAATACCTCTTTATACCTTCATTTCAAATAATGAATGGACACTTGGAGGAAGACAGGCACAAGCAGAGCAAGCAGAATGTTTTAGTGAGACAGGCAGCTCTGCTCACTACCGAGTTCAACAGCAAAAAACTGCAGGGATTTTACCAGCAGGACAGGCAGAGTATGGAAGCACCAACAGAGCCAATATTTAGGACAGTTTCTGGAAATGTGCAAACCTATGTGCAATCTCTATGCAATGTATAGATCTTCTAGCTGTTTGTGCAACAGTCAGTGTGTATTTTGCTTGTCCATTTGCTGTGGAGAGAACAGCACATACTGTGCACAACACTGTTCTGATGCATCAAGGACAACCAAAGCAAAACATATATACTACATTAGTTGGATAAGGAAGCAGAAACTGATTTCCTTGACTGCCTACAAAATAGTGGAAATCACGAAATCTCCCTCAAAAGATGAGCAAAGGAACCACTATGAGAAGTGGCTCTCAAAAAGATGTGTACACCACATATGAACATTCCATCTGAGCAAGTTACAAAAGCAGAATCTATGAGCAGACCAGAAAGAGAGAAGGGCTATGGGACCCTAGAAAAATTGACCAGCACTTGTGATTACACAGGAATACAAGTGTATATAAGCAAGCTTTTTTGGCTCAAAATTCTCAATTACAGTAATTTTGGGGCTATGAGCTACAACCAAATATTGACATTTCTCAAAATTTTTCAGGCACATTGTTTTCAAATTTTGAACTGAAAATATTATACAGATGTCATCATTCCAAGACCAGGTGCAAATAAATAAAATCCTGTGTAGCAGTAACTAATTTGAGCTAGATGCATGCGTATGGTAGCCTGTTCAGAGTAATTTAATTGCTTATTTCTTTGTTAATACGTATGATGTCAATTTATTAATCTGCAGAAATGAGAAGTGTCACACAGAAAAATACTATTCTATATATATTTGGAAGCATTATCCAAAAGTGTAGCAAGGAAAACCAGGTAACTCTTCTGAACCACCTCCGATATGTAGGAATAGTTGTTCAAATTTTAGCAATGCTCTATCAGCACAATATCTGACAATCTGTCCTGATACTGCTGAGAAAAAACTTCTGTTTTTTTCAAAAAGACCAACAGACCAAGAGAGACTCTATGCTAGAGTGATGAGTTGATCAAGTAAGACAAATTCTGTCTCTTAAATATAGCAAGCCAATGCTGATAATGATAGCTAGGTATTCTAAGGTTTTATCACATGGAAAACAGATGACTTGGAAATGCTACAAAATTGTGCACACCTCTGTGTTAATAATTTAACAATCCTTATTATTGAATAGCCTGGAGTAAAAATATAACTTAGAGCAAAATTTAAAGCTTTCAACATACATATGATAAACTAAAATTTTTCTTTCAAAAAGGAGATCTATACCCTGATGTACTTTTAAGTCTGCAATGGCTGTTCAGTAGTTACTTTGAGTTAATAAATAACCTCTTAAAGCATATTAAAACAACTGAAAACTTTCTGAGAAGTTCAGTGTATCAAACCCACAGACTTGCCTTCCAATATAGCCAACACGCCTTTAGCCTCTTAAGCTGATAAATTTAAAACAACTAGAGTACAATAGAAAGACCCAGTTACTTTTCAGATATGTCTTCTTACATGTTTTCCACCTAGCCATTTGACTCTCATACCACAAAGTCCACGTATGTGTATTAATCACTGGGGCCCAAAAACATCTCTGTCTTCCTCATCACTTTACAGTAAGTCACTTTGAGACTAAACTTAGCTGCTTTGCACAGTATGTTGAAAAATTCACTACTTTCAGACAGCTGAAAATTACAGAATTCAGCTCAAGCCCCCTCCCCTGTCTCCCTGACACATATACTTTTAAGGCATGATGGTTAATAATGACAAATACAGCAACCTAACTGAGAACTTATTAAGGCTTTTGCTGAAAACACCTACATGAGTATAATCTATGGTCAGATTATATCAGGAATTGACTTATTAGTCAAAATACTAAGAAATGCCTGTTCCCATAGAACAGAGTTCTCTTTTTATGACTGGTTCTTGCTTTAGGGAAGCAGTGAACATCGGAAATACTTGTGTCGTGAAAGCTCACCTTCCAGTAAGTCTCTTGCCAGACCTGGCTCTGCCCCTGTGGACCGAACAAAGTCTGACAGGACTGCATCCATATCAAGAGTCATGTGCTCATTCAGAGAAGCTGCCAGATATGCAGCAGCAGCAGGGCTCACTGGTTGGCTAGAAGGCATCCATCTGCCAAGGAGAAAAAGAAACAGGATTTTAGAATATACTCCAAAATGGAAACAACATTTTTTTCTCTCTTCCCCAAACTAGACTATTTAAAATGATAAAATATTCAATTTACAGTATTAAAATAAACAACATTTGTTATCCATCTCTGCCTTAGCCTAGAAACTGTTGATCTCTCGCACTGGATGGTTTTCTCTTTCTTAATATTTCCTATTTTTCTTGATTTTTCTTATGTGCAGCTTGTAAATAATACTGCAACCTGAAGAATCCAATGCAGCTAAACACAGGCACTTTTCACTCAAAGCACAACCATCGTATCACTGTCACTGCTCAGCCTGTGTCTACCTAGAGGTAGACTATGCTGTCTACCTGGAGGGGTGTCCAATACACTTGGAACTGACTGCCTCAGGGATGGAAGTACAGCATTACCATCTCCATGGATAGACACAGATAACACAGGAAAAGGGTGAAGACCCCAAACACCCACAGTATATCAAAATCATCAACATGTGGGGCAACACAGCGAAAAGAAGTGTTTGAGAAAGAGAAAGAATAATTCAAATCCTCCTGAGTGCCACTTTTCCTATAAAACCAAGCAATGTCAGAGAACCTACACAAGAGATCCAGTTTTGGAGAAAAAAAATTACAAGATGGCCATTCTATCTCAATGGAAGTGATCAATCACATAACAGCCATATTCTCACCAGTTAACAATACTGTAGCTACTGTACAGTGTTTTCTGCATTTTTAAACAGTCTGTGGGGAGCAATCTTATTCCTGGGGGCATAAATCTAGGGACCTGGTAAGAAACTGAACATGTTTTGCCTTATTATGTCACATTATGTCAAACATATATATATATATATCTAGCAGGGGAGTTTTTCTTGCCAAATCCATGGCTAACAAAAATACATCTGCCCTACTGCATTTTGTACCTACTTTTTTGTTCCTGCAAAGTGAAACCAAACCTTCTAGGCAATATTCCCTATAAGTATCAAATAAAAATTAAAGCAGGCACTTCAAGAGGAAGATGGTGCTAGACAATCTATTAAAGCATCTGGCATTCAAAACACAGTTACGCTAAAGGTATCTCTGTACTCCTACCCTGCCTGCACCGCTGCAGAAGCAGTGCAAAGCAAAGCAAACAGGATGAAGTTAAATGATACACAACATAATCAAGTGTGTATGTTTTACTTTCATGCTTGTTATTCATCATTGGTCAAATTTTACCTTTGAACATTAATTAGATTTTTCCTGTTAATTCCTCCTCACAGGTTCAGTTGCCACTTTACCATGTGCCAAGGGGAATCACTAGTACAGAGATTTCCTAATTGCACTGGAATAATGATATTGGTTGGCTCTCACTTGTACCACAGCTACAGAGAAATAAACTGTGGAAGAAACTGGAAACCAGTTGATTTCACTGTTCCCCAAATGAAACTCAGCCCTTTCCTACTGCCTGTGCAATCACCTGCCCATATTTAACCTTAAAAATGGAGTGCCTTTGCTTTTTTAGAAATTGCCTCTTCTTGGAAGTACATATGCCAGGTAGAGTACAAACGTCATTTGCCTTCTGCCCCATGAGGTGAGGGTCCTGCTCAGTCTCATACCATGAGGACTGCCTGCAAAACCCAGCTTGCTCCAACATATTGAAAGTGTGTGGGACGTGGTAACACAATTACATGTTTTTCAGTATCAAAACAGGTAACATTATTCCTAACCCTACCCACTTCAGTTTTCTGGCCCCTACACTGTACCTTTGTATGTTTTATACCACTTCTACATGTATGCTTTGATACTGTTTATACAACTATATAATCATTAGGATAGCATTAGGATAGCAGTGGATGTCTATTCAGCCCTGCTGAGACTCATCTGGAGTGTTGTGTCCATTTCTGGCTCCCCAACACAGGAAAGACACAGTCATACTGGAGCAAGTCCACTGAAAGACCACAGAGTGGGACACCACTGGGTAAGAGGAACATTTCTAAGAAGTAACATAACGAAGATGTAGTAACAAAATGAAAGCCAGAAATAAGGAGGAGGCTGGTTAAAAGGAAAGTGGACACTTCTGGAAGAGAATTACTCCTGTGAATTATGGTCAAATTTGGCAGCTAAGATTTGTTGCAACTGGAGCTTCTCCTCTGTTTCAATGCAAATGCAAGACACAAATGCTACTTTCATTTTATTAAAAAGCTCAACAACTCATACATAGATCCACTGTACCAAACAGCACTAACATCCATACAAAGAGATAATGATAAACCTAAGACAAATTCTTTAGTTCATAGAAGAAAGAATGAAATAAATCATAAGCAGCAGGATGGTAACATATGGATCAAGCTAAAAGAAGCTGCCACAGGTGAACACTACAGAGCATTAGTGAATTTCAGGTAACAAAAGGGACAAAGCAGTATAATAACTGCTAATTAAAAATGCACCAGCTGGGAGACCCAGTACAGTCACTATGTGTGGGGTCTAGACTGCTCAGAAATTGGGAAAAGTGAAGTGCGTATCAGTCTGAAGGAGTAGATTCATGAATTGCCTCGGTATGAGTTTTATTTCAGTATTTTCACCATTAGTATTGAAAAGACATCCTTGTAAAAGCAGAAGATCCATCTCTTTCTGCATTTCTGACATCACCCATCACCTCACAAGTGCCTCTTGATTATCAGAGCCCATACACTAACCATGTGAATAGACACCTTTCATTCTTAAATCATCCCAGCAAAGGTTCTGTAAGCTATGAAGAGACTTTCTACAGAAGAGGTTCTTTCTGGCAATGCAGAAAGTTCTCTTTCTATATATAAAAATTGGTAATATGTTTTCACTGACAGCTAGTAAAAACACAGTTCACATGCAACAGAGATAAGGCTAGCTGTTGTTTTACTGAAAAACAAGACAAACCAGGACAAATACTATCCAGTTTCCACTACATAATGATAAAATAGCTACACAGGTAGGAAACACCTGCCTTGTGTCGAGCACCAAGGCAGCACACCCAATCTAGACCTTCCAAATCCACGACAGAGTGAGTAAAAAGTTTTCTATTCCAATGCTCCCTCTATTCTTGTGCACTGTGCCAGGTAATTCTCTAGGCTCTAGGTCCTGCTACTGGGCTTAGAACATCTGCACAAAAATATCCATGCTAATTAATTCTTCCTGTTACTCATCAGGCCTAAATTAACAGCATGACATAGATTATGTTTATTCAGACAGATGTGTCTGAAAAGATAGAGGAATCAATGATGAAACATTAATGAATACTAAAAATGAAAAAAACCAGAACAAATCCACCACTGAATACCTGATTCCCTAAGTTGGAGTAATTCAAAATTAAGTAAGATCTATAGGACTGTGCTGACTGGAGATGGACTTCTGCAGTTTCCATGTAAACTCCAACAGTTCTAAATTAAGCCCATCCAATGCTGTAAGAGACAACTAAAATCTCTGCTACACATGCAACTAAGGAGCAATTTGCTGTGAAAACTCATGCCTCATGATAAGGTCTCATGAAGTCCCTGAAACATTATAATCTGAATGTGGTGCTTACCAAACCCACAAATATTAACAGCTTTAGTAAAAAACAAAACCCAAACACCCCTCTAAACCAAACCCCTCCCACCCAGCCCCAAAAAGCCCTCTCCAAAACTTCACTAGGTTTCCTGCTACTTGGCTAACAGTAACTGCTAACCATGTCATAACAATTTTCTTTTTTTCAGGCAGCAAACATCACCTCTCTACCCCATTTTGTAGTAATCATTTTTACAGGTGGCAAGTGTACTAACTCCCCTTCATGAAAAGCCTTTACAAAAGGCTCTAACTTTCAGAACGCTCTGCACTCTGAAAGCAAGGAACAGAGTTGGTAGGATTCTTCCTGTCTGCATTTGAACTAGCTGTCTGCTATTTGAACTATCATTTCCTTAAAGGGAGTTTTTTCTCAGCTCTTTAGAATTTAGAGGGGAAGAAAAAAAACAATCCCTAACAAACCAAAACACAACAACAAAAAGTCATTTAAAAAAATATTATATTTGCCAGAAAAACACCATTAGCTGTGAAAACCCACCCAGATAGAATAGTAAAAACTACTAAGCAAGAAAATAAACTGTAAAGAAGGAGGCAGTGACTCAGAAGCCAGATGGCTACCAGATTTACTGATCTCACCAGATGAAGATAGTCTCTCCTCACCTACAAAACCTCCAACCACCAGCTTTCCTCCAGGTGGCTAGTCAGAGCCCTGACACAGCTTACACTATAAGTAGTCACACTTGGAGGAGATCTACCACAATCATCCACATTATACCCACCTGTCAACAAGCTCCACTCCTTTTGCAGCAGACACCCATATATATTTGCAGGTTGTTGGTTTTTTTAAATGTGGCACTATACACAAATAGCACTTTAAACTGAATGTAAACATCTTGGCCTCAAAACACAATGAAGACCTTAGTTTTCATTCACTTTCTAACCAAATTTATTCTATAAATACTTTGTATTGAAACAATGCAAAATATAAGAGGCAGTACAAGAGAATAATTTGTTGCACATTGTAAGAAAAAGCATTTTTAAAGAACAAGCATTGATTGCTTCTAAATATTAAGATGCAATACAACTTGAAATCAGTTTAATACAATTCAGTTATACTTGACCTTTTCTTCTCCTTTAAGTAGCTCTTCCTAAAACTGAGCCACACTTGGAAGTAACCAGTCTAAATTTGACATCTTCAAAATGAAATAGCTTCCTCCAGTTAAACAACTTAAGACATTTCTTTCCAAACAGATGGAAAGAGATGCATAGGGCCAACTAATGAAGCAAGAGCAAGTATGTTAAAACAAATCCCATGCCTTCAGAATACAAGTAGCTAACAGAACAGAAGTGAGGAACAGAAAGAAAACACTACACAAACAATGCACAGTGGACAAGCCCTGAGGAGCACGTAATGATTAAAGTGCAACTAAGATTTTTCACTTTTATGATTTTCAAAGAAAGGATGAAATAAGCACCATCAATAACATACCCAGTCTCAGTGCTCTGGGAAGCCAGTGGAAAGGCACTGATTGTATTAAATCAGTTCCCCCTTAACTTTTTTAACTTCCCTGCAGTATGGCAAGGCTGAATACCTGTTCCTGATTCCTCTCAGCTGGTTTGGCAATATGCAGGCTAAGTGCAGAGCCCTCTTGTGTTCAATGCTCATGCTGCTTGCATTTTTGGTTGTGAAGGCAGCAAGACCCTGTCTGTGCACAGCTCCAGACTTTGAAAGTAATTCTTTCTGACATGTCATATTTGATGGAGAACATCTAAAATCTTGACAATATCACGAAATTGAACCAATCCACCAAGTAAGACTGTCTCTTTCTAGCAAAACATTTAATTTTTTTGAGCTCAGGCTGTGCGATTTTTCATTCTTTTCTGCATGCAAAATATATTCACTTACAGCTTCATAAGGGCTTTAATTTTTTCATTAACCCAGGCAGTTTTCATTTGGTTCTTACATCTCTAAAGCTGCTCCACTCTTCATTAGTTAACACTTTGTCAAATGTTCATACATAAGATAAAAACTATTAAGGTAAAAACTGTAATTAAATAATCAAATCCATTAGAGACGATTTGTTTAGGAGGGGAACATCAGGTTTAAGGAAACTAGTAGTTCATGTAGGCACCCAGCTTTTCAGATTGCCTCATAGGAACACCATATATATGGGAGTGTGGTATCTTCTGGGTTTCAGCTGCTGCTCCAGAAGTGTATGTGTCTGCATCATATTTTCTTGTCTGATATGGCTATCCCATCAGAAATTCCAGTTTGACTATAAATGAGTGGACACAAAGCAGCCTTTCCACACAATGCATAAAGCTGTTAAAGTCAAAACACCCTCAGGACAGATCTCAAATCATAGCACATTTAATAATTGAAGTTGAGTAGATACTTACACTCAAACTTCCGTAATACAGAATTTTAATGGCCAAGTATTTTACACTTGGCCTCACTCAAGTATTCTACTTTGTCTTGTTGTTTGGGTTTTTTTATGAATGGGATACAGTCAAATCAAAGATTACTTTGCCAGCTTCGAACCGGTTTTGTTTTAAAGACTTTTATCTTCAAATAGTTCCCAGTTTTAGCTGCCAAGAATATAAAGATGAAAGCCAGTTTTTAACCTCACAGTCAGAAGAACATCTCCAATAAAACTACATGTATATTATGCACTTCTACCAGAGATGAAGAGGACATAAATTTTGCAATCTGTTTAGTATAAATAAGCCCATGCTGCTCATAGAACTCAGATGAAAGAAATAAAATAATACTCAGGAAACATATCTGCACAAAGTGTGCCATTTACACTATTATACACTTCACCAAAACGCTCCTTATAGCCTCTGTATTGAGCTGGGAAGACCAGCTACAAAGTCATACAAGCAGTTTTAATCTGTCACCATTAAGATTAGCTGCACCTGACTGAGTTCTACACCAGAATGGCAGATCACTCCATTAAGAGCCACTGCATAGTTATATTAACGAAGGGACATGTGGTCACAATTTCTCTGCAATAATAATCACTCTGTTCTGCAATATCTGTAAAAAAAATGTTTTCAAAAGTGGCTGGATGAATAAGATCTTGGCAGCAGATATAGTTACAGTAATGAATTAAATAGCATTAGTTGAAGCTGCCAAAGTTATGATAACTACCTAAAAAAGGAAATATGTAGTAGACCTGATGGCAAAAGTGGGGTATTTATATGTTAATTGTAAAATTAACATATAAAGAAGAGCAATGAGGAAGAAAAACAAAAGCTCCAATCAGGCATTATTGCTAAGGTTTTGTCTACATAATGGAACTCAGGAAAATTAACACAAATCAATTTAAATGTATTTGTCCATGTCCATTAAATTCCTTTGGAAACTCTTTCATCTGGGAATAAAATGTGGCCTTAATTTGGTTTGGCTCATCTTCTCCTCAAAGTGAATTAAACTAAATTCACTGGAGGCCACTTTAATTATGAATGGGAGAGTGCACACAGACTTGGTGGGATCTAGGCTGACCTCTTTAAATTCCTACATTTAGTTGGCTTGCACCAACTTTCCTAAGTATCTTGTGTAGATAAAGCCCTGAACAGATACATGAGAGACAGAGGTGAAAAAAACAGAGAATGAGAGAAGCTATGCTGAAGAATCCTCAGTCAACACACTAAACCTCCATGGGAACCAGCAGAGAAGAGCTATTAACCAAGAGAAGAGAATTGTTCAACTATTTTAAGTTCAATTCTAGGAAGAATATTGCCAAAGTTCTGACACTAACTGGGAAGTATTTTTAAAGCACACTTGTGAAGGACCAGGTATTTCCTTACACGAACATGAAATGTCCTTTGAGTCAGCCGACAAAACTGACTTAAAACGGTGTCTCCACACTGCGCTGAACCCCCTCTGTGTGTATGGGGGGGGGAGCAGCTGCTGCAGGGGAGG